TCAGCTGAATGTTGGTGTGTTGCAGCTCTCTGAGGCCCTCTACTAGTCACCATCAGGTACTACAGGTACTGACTCACATGGAAGTGAAGTTTTACTGGTATTTCCAGTTTGTAGTTGTGAAACATAACAAAGTACATTTACTCAACAAGTACTTTGTAGTAAATCTATAATACTTCAACTCAGGTACTGTACATAACTTTTACAGTACTTGTACTTTACTCAAGTATTTAGATTTTGTGCTACTTTGTCCTTCTGTAGTTTCTTTATAAGATTTTACAAACAAAAGATCATATTTATTAAATAAAATGTTATGTTAATATTAAATATTGAAGCGTGTGCTCCTCTCTTTACCTTCCTCTGAGCCACTTCCTGTTTCTCGTCCACTTCCTGTCCCAGCAGCGTCTGCAGGATGTTGACGTCCAGCTGCAGCTCGTCCTGCTGCTCTCTGGACAGACGCTTCATCTTCAGACGGAGGCCCTGATCCAGATGCCTCCTCTGGGTCCGCTGGTCCTGAAGAGTCTGCTGCTGCTCACGCTGCTGCTGGAGGACCTGCATCTCCTGCTGCTGCAGCTGAGACCACCAGACACCACCAAAGACAAGAGACTATTAGAGACCACCAGAGACAAGAGACTATTAGAGACCATCAGAGACCACCAGAGACAAGACACTATTGGAGACCATCAGAGACCAGAGACAAGAGACTATTAGAGACCATCAGAGACCATCAGAGACCACCAAAGACAAGAGACTATTAGAGACCATCAGAGACCACCAGAGACCAGAGACCACCAGAGACCATCAGAGACCATCAGAGACCAGTTCAGACCTCAGCTCAACAGGAACACTTTAGAAGTTACAGCACGGATGAAGCCGGATGAATTCATGTGGCTCATATTCTGTTTTAAATCTTCCAAAGATCTTGATTTTATTTCATATATCCACAGATGTGTCTTTGTTTGGGTCACATGACTGACAGACTGTCACCTGATTGGACAGAAGTCAGAATGATCCTCATTTTTCTAATTTAGCCATCTGAATGTTGATGATTCAGTTTGAGAAACTTGAGTTTTTTGATTAAAAACTCAAGTAGAGAGATATGAAAATAACCAACTGAGATGTCGCTTCAATTTAAACTTTGCCCCCCCCCCCACGCACACACACACACCCCACAAAAAAAAACATTTAAAGAGAGAAACAGAGCACTTCAGGTCATGATTTTCAAAATAAAATCATTCAGTTCTTGATAGGTTTCCATTAAAGATAATAATGAATTAGTGTGTTTACATCAGTAACCTGGTGAAGGTACCTGGAGACCTCTGATGTAAACACCTGGACCAGGTGTGTGTCACAGACCATCATACAGGTATAACATATAGTAATATATATAATACATAACATATCATGTACAGATCAGAGGTATAACTGTGAGAATAGACCCACCATGAGCGTGGCCTCCTCCTCCCTCAGCTCTCGGTGCTTCTGTCTCTGAAGCTCCGCCTCCTCCATCTGACTCCTGATGACCTCCACCTGCTGCCGGTTCCTCTGCCGCCGGCTCTCCTCCCTCTGCGCCTCCTTCTCCTCTTTGGCCCTGCGATCGGCCTCCCACAGCTCCTCGAACACCTCATCCTCCTGCTGCTCCTGCTGCTGCCGCTGCTGCCGACTCCTCACCTGAGCGGCTCGCTCCGAACACACCTGCTGCTCTGTACGTCGGCTCTGGACGCTCCGCAGCTCGTCACACTGGCTCCTAAGGGGAGGAAGTACTAGTACAGTAAGAAGTACTATATGTACCTCTGAGGTGTAGTACAGTATAAAGTACTATA